GGACAGCGGTGCTTGAGGGCACGAGCAATGCTAGAAGAGAAGTTTGATGAGCGAGGGGGCTCCTGGCTCCAGCCGACGGGCACCCCACATCCATGGCACCCCACATCCAAGCCTCAGTCGCCTTACCTGGGAAGGCAAGTGCCCCTCACGAGGTGCCTGAGCAGCAGCAGAGCCCAGCCCCCGCAGGGGGCACAGCCATCCACTGCCACGGGGAGGAGTTGGCAGCCCAGCGGAGGTGTGAGCACACCCGTGTTCAAGGAGCCGCTAGTCGCAGCAGCCAAAGGGGCGGCCCCGAGGCCCTTCGGAAAGTGGACAGACCAATAAGAGGGGCCCAGGAACAGCACTGTGTCCCAGCAGCTCCAGTCCTGGCTGCTCCACTTGCGACCAGCGCCCTGACACTGGGTTGGGGAAGCAGCCCTGGGCCCTGCCACCCTGTGACAGCCGTGCAGTTTGCACCTCCTGGATCTGGCCCAGAAAGACTTGCAGTGATCAGAGGAGTGAGCCAGCCGATAAAGATCCTCTGCCCTTTATCTCTTCTTCCAGTTCAAATCAATCAATAATTAAACCTTTTGCAGCAGCCACGTGTGCCCACCCATGCAGATCACACGTACCTACCCATGCTGTGCTGAAGACATTGAAGCCGACCAGTGGGGGTGGGCACGGGGGCACAGCAGGTGGGACCACGGCTGGGAAAGCTGCATGTCACAGCAGGGTCACTTCCAGTCCTGGCTGCCTGTCCTTCCCCTAGCTTTCAGCCAGCGAGCCTGCACGGCCGGGAAGCTGGGTAGGGTGTGTGGTCCGGACTCAGCCCCACTGTGAGCACGTCTGGGAAATGGCAGGTGGGAAATCTCTGTGACTCCCCTCTGCCTGTGAAATGCATACATCTTTTTTTTTTTAAAAAAAGATTTAGTTGTTTTTATTGGAAAGGCAGATATACAGAGAGAAGGGGAGACAGAAAGATCTTCCATTTACTGGTTTACTCCCCAAGTGGCTGCAACGGCTAAAGCAAAGCTAACCCAGGAGCTTCTTCTGGATCTCCCACGTAGGTGCAGGGTCCCAAGGCTTTGGGCCGTCCTCCACTGCTTTCCCAGGCCACAGGCAGGAAGCTGGGTGCGAAGTGGAGCAGTCAGTACACAAACTGGAACCCATCTGGGGTCCAGTGGATGCAAGATGAAGACGTTAGCCACTAGGCTATCACTCTGGGCCCCCTAAACCTTTGATTCAGAAGAGGAGGGAAGACAAGTATGGTATGGGCTGCCGACTGGAGGGTCTCTAGAGTAAACAATCGGGAGAGCTAGGGACGGGGGGGTACTGGGCAGAGTCCGGTTTTGCCAGGTGAGGGTCCTGCTGAACTGTCCCCTCCCAACAGTAAGCGCTGTTATGCGCAGTTCATCACAATGAAAAGAAACGGTTGACGTGTCGTCCCCCGAGCAGAGGGAAGGGTGGCAGGTCCCGCGTGCCCGGGGCCTGGTCTCCGGGCTGATCTTGCCTGCAGGGTGGAGCCGGCACTGTCTCCAGCTGCCCCCGCAGAGCTGGCCAGTGGTCCAGGTGCTGGTCACAAACTTCCAGCCAGCACCCGACCCCCGTTCCTGGTGGAGGAGGGTTTCTTGGCTGACCTGTGGCTCCCCTTGCAGGGCAGGGCCCTGGGACTCTGTGCTCCTCTGTCAGGAGTAGGGGCCGTGGGCTGTCAACCCTGAGTCATGTTTTAGGAGGGTGCCCTGGTGTGGGAGCGCCACAGGAGGGGTGGCCGTGGCAGGTGCTGTCCTGGCCTTCTGCGGGCAGCTGATGCGCCAGAAGGCAGCAGCAGGGCCTCTGGCTCTGGTCCCATTCCCGATTGAGCTGGGCCTGAACCTGGGGAACCGCAGTGTCGCCCTGGGCCCTGGACAAGGACCGGGACCTGCTGTATCTTATTGATGTGTTTGACATTTGACATATGTATATGATTGATTTGCTTGCAAGACTGACAGAAAAAGTTCCTTCCCCCAATAGCTGCAGGGCCAGGCCAGGCTGAAGCCAGGAACCTGGGCTTCAACCCCTTCCGATGTGGGGGCAGGGACTGAAGCGCTCTGGGAGTCATCAGCTGCTTTCCTGGCACACTAGCAGGAAACTGAATCAGACAGTCCAGAGCTGGGATTTGAACTCTCACTACCATATGGATGCTGTGCCACCATACCAGCCCTCCCCTGCCAGTTCAAATCTGCATTTCCATTTTATTTAAAGGAAGATAGGGCTCCCCATCCAGTGACCGACTTCCCAAACTCAATGCAGGTCAGAACCAAGAGCCTGCAACCTGCCAGGCTCTCCCGCGCTCCTGGAATCAGGTGGCCCAGCTGCTGCGCCACCCAAAGGCCACCCCTGAAGTGGGGGCTCCTGGAGGGGAGAGGCCAGCGGAAGGGGCAGCCGTGAACAGTCCTGCCCACGTCTGAGCCGTCAGAGGATGTCAACACCTTAGTGGACCCTGCTTCCCAGCCCCACACTCGCCTTGGAGAGCGCTGCCAGGGCCTCTCACACCCTGGTGCCTACAGCTCTCCTGGCCATCCCTGTGGGCACTGCCAGACCACCAGCCCCTCCCGAAGACCCTGTCCCTACTGCTGGGTCCAGCTGACCCCTCTGGCAGCCCCCTCCCACCGTGTAGCTGCCACCCAGGGGCCCTTCTGCGCTGTGCCCCCAGCAAGCCCCCCCACCCACACACAAGGCAGGGCAGGTGGCGGGCAGTGGAGATCAACCCGGCGTGGCACCTGGCTCACAGCGAGAAGAGGAGGTCCTCACCCCAACGGGCACCCCCTGAAGGCACCCACCCCCTCAGCAGCCCCTCCCAACCTCAAAGGCCTGTGTGCCTAGGCTGATGGGGGGAGGAGATGGGAGAGGAGGGGAACAAAAGGAGGAGGAGCAGAGGCCAGAAAGGGAAGCTGGTGCCCGCCCGGGAAATTCCTGAGTGTCAGGGAACTTTCCAGAGGGCAGGAATTTCTAGGATGTGACAAGGGGGCAGGAGAATTGCATGGGCGCCCTCGGTGGGTTCTGCCTTCCTGAGGCCCAGACCGGGGCTGGGGATGGGGTGCGTGCGTGACCGGCTCCTTGGCCCCCCGGGCAAGCAGGGACCAGTCCGAGCCCCGAGGGCCTGAGTCGGTCACAGCGCCCCTCCGCCTCCTCCAGGAAGCCCGCCGGCCCCGGGTGGGAGCCGGCAGGAATCGCTCTGTGACGCGAGAAGGCGGCGCCCGGCGCCCGGCCCCTCCCGGGCGGCCAATCAGAGGCCGTCGGGGGACCCCGGGCGGCCCCGCCGCGCGGGGCAGGGGGAGTCTGCGCCCCTGCTCCCCGCCTGCTGGGGCGCCGCGCTCCGGCTGCTGGGCCTCCGCCCGCGGGTTTTCCGCGGCCGCCGGGGCGGGCAGGGCCGGGGGTGGGGCCTGCGGCTATTTCAGGCGGCGCCGTGCGGGACCCGGTGCGCGGCGGCCGGATCTGGATGCAGTAAGTGACCCCGCGCGCTCCGGGCCGGCTGGCTGCCCGCGGGCAGGGCGCGGCGCCCCAGGGGGACACGGGACGCTGGGAGGGGACGAGAGCGGCGTCGAGGCCGGTGGTTCCGGGGCTTCAAGGACATGGGTGCCCCAGCTGACCCGTGCGTGCCTCCTTCGGCGCAAGGGTCGGGCTCTGAGTCCCTGCCGCTGCCCGGGGGGAAAGCTGAGGTTGTGCAGGAAGGCCGTGCCCAGTGCCCAGGGGCGCGCTGCTGAGAGGCCCAGCAGAGCCCACACAGTTCTCTTCCCATTACTGCAGCAGCCCTGGAGGACACGCTTGGGAGCTCCCTCCGCTAGGGGCTGCTCAGACAAGGCAGCCCCCTCCCTGTTTCCTTCCCCTAACTGCTCCCCAGGAGGACAGTGGTGGGGCCCCACTTGTCAGACCAGCTTCTGTGGATGTTTGGCACGAAAGGGGCCTGTGCTGGGAAGAGGTGCAGGCATGCCGCATGGGCATGGGCAGGGCAGGGCTGCCTGGCGGCCTCTCCCCTGGTGATCACGGCATCCAGAGCGGAACTCCCAGCGCAACTGGCACCCGGGTGCAGGCAGATGGAGAGGGGGCAGGGAGAGGCACCAGCCGTCTTGCTTCCAAGAAGTGGCTCTGACCAAGCTGTGGGGTGTGGGACAGCCCCTCCTGGGAGCAGGGTGGAGAGGGGGGCAAGGGATGAGGACCAGCCCTAGCCCCCACCCCTGCAGAGCTTGGAGCAAAGCATTTCTCCCTGCAGCCACAGCTTTCCTGGGGCCTGAGTCATCAGGGGCTTGCCTGTTTATTCTTGGTGGAGACCCAGCCCAGCCTGCTCCTGCCCTGCGTGTCAGCCAGGGTCTCCGTGGTGGCTCCCACCAGCTCTGTCTGCCCTCAGGGACCTGGGCATCTGGAGGGGTACAGCTGAGAAGGCGGCGCGGGGAGGGGACCTGGAGAAGGATGGGCTGGGTTCTGCAGCAGGTGATCCGGATCACATCCAGGTTGCTGACCAGAGGCACTTTCAGGCTAAGCTTGAGCCCCCTCTGGGTGGAGGAGAGGAAGAGGGACGGGTGCCCAGGAAGGGCAGAGAAACGAGAAGCACTGGTGATGTTGACACCCACTGGCCATGCTGTGCCTTTTGCTGCTGTCGCTGTGGTCTCTGCAGACCTCACGCAGGGCAAAGCACTTAGGTTCTGCTCCCCTTGTTTCTGCGCAGGGGTCCCCCCGTGACGTGACTCCACAGCCAGAGACTGGGGCCTGGCCTTGGAGAGGCATCTGGGGGCCCTGGCCTAACCATGGTCATTCTTTATCCCAGGCCTTGCTTCGTCCCAAGGGACAACAGGTGGCACCCAGCCTCTTTCTTGTGGTGTGTGGGATCCAGGGAGGGGCTTCCTCCCAATTCCTGCTCTCCACACAGAGGGTAAGGGGTCCAGGAAGTACCCTCAGAGACCTAAGTGCATGGGTACACCAGGCCCGTGGGTAAATGTGTGGCATTTCGCCCTGGCCCGTGTCCTTTGACTAACTTAGGGTGCCAATTACGGTGTGAATGGGTCCTTCACTGTAGTGGGGCTGTCCCCCCCAAAGTATCTGCTGGTGATGGGGTCACCCACGGATGCCTCCCAGGTGCTTTCCAGCCTTGGTTCGTTGATCCCGTGTGTGGGTGCAGGAACTCACTTAGCCGCCTCTCTGGGGGAGGGGCTGGTATCAGCTTGGAGAGTGGTGGGCAAGGGTCTGGTGCTTAGCTGGGCAGGAGGAAAGAGGCTGTGGAGAGGGACCGCTGACCCTGCTGCCCACCCTGTCCCTGCAGGCACACGCCAGGGGGTGCTCAAGATAATGACCTTCCTTCGAGACCCTCTCGGCCAGCAGTCTGTACCAGGAGTCCTCGACTTGCTGGGGAGCCCCCAGAAGCTGCGCTCCACCTCCGAGGCCGGATCAGAAGCCTCCATGTCTGAGGCCTCCTCCGGGGACCTGCTGCCCCAGGACAAGGAGGAGCGGACAGCCAAGAAGAAGCCCAGAACGCTGGCCAGCATGTTCAGCGTGTTCAGCAAAGGGAAGAAAAAGAAGAAGCAGGGCCAGTCCAGCTCCGCCGAGTCCACTGGCCAGGCCAGGCCGGGGCTGCAGGGACCCCCGCCCACGGGTAGGCCTGAAGGGGCTCCCGGGGTCCTGGGGAGGGCTCTGCACCGTGGAGGGAGCTCAGCCTTCCTCTGAGGAGGCGGGGAGGGGCGTCTGCGGCCAGCCTGGGAGTGCCACCCGCGGGCACGTGCCCGACGCTGATACGGTTTTTTTGGGGCCGCAGTGGAGGAGCTGAAGGCGACGCTGGAGCACGGGCAGCTGGAAGCGGCGTGGCCGCTGCTGGCGCTGGAGCGAGAGCTGCAGGCGGCGGCGGCTGCGGGCGGCACGAGCGCCGAGGAGCTGGTGCGGCGCCAGAGCAAGGTGGAGGCCCTGTACGTGCTGCTGCGGGACCAGGTGCTGGGCGTGCTGCGGCGGCCGCTGGACGCGCCGGCCGAGCGGCTGCGCCTGGCGCTGGCCGTGCTGGTCGAGCAGGAGCGCGAGGACGCGCAGGTGGCAGCAGAGCCTGCGCCCGGGGCGGCGGCCCTGGCGCCCACGCGCCCACGCGGCTGGCTGCAGCTGTGGCGGCGCGGCGTGGCCGAGGTGGCCGCCGAGCGCCTGGGCCGGAGGCCGGCCGCGGGCAGCACCGACAGCCGCTCGGAGGCCGAGAGCGCCTTCCTGCACATGGGCCGCACCATGAAGGAGGACTTGGAGACTGTGGCCGAGCGCCTGAAGCCGGTGTTCCCCGCCGAGTTCGGCGTCGTGGCCACCTACGCCCAGAGCTACCACGAGCACTTCGCTGCCCACCTGGCTGCCCTGACAGAGTTCGAGCTGTGTGAGCGGGACACCTACATGCTGCTGGTCTGGGTGCAAAACTTCTATCCTAAGTGAGTGGTGGCTGGAAGGGTGGAGGCTCTGAGCTCCAAGGGCGGTTTGTGTCATGTGCCCCTCACCTCCTGCGGGGGTGCTGACCCAAGCCCTGTCTCCTGGGCTCCTGCCAGACTCTCCAGCTGGGGAGACTGAGGCCTGGGCCGAGGCAAACGTCTCCCTGCTTCCTGTGTCAGCTTGCAGGCTGGGGAGAGGCTGCGCCTGACAGTGAAGGGTGCTGAGCAGGTGCCTGGAGGTCAGGACGCCCCTGGGGAGGCACGTGGCAGGCGGGGCGCATGGCGCCCGTCCTTGCCTGCGCTGGGACGCTGAGCCAGGGCATTCTGGGAGCCAGGCATTGGCTGGAGCATGGAGCGGAGCATGCTGAGCAGGGTCACTTCATGAGCCCACACGGTGGGTGTCTGGGCCACGAGGTCTGGCACCCTCAGGTGGGAGGTCAGTTGCCCGTGCCCAGGGAGTCCTTCCATGCCATAGCTGCTCCAGCTTCAGGCATGCCCTACTTGACCCCAACTCTACCTGTTCCTGAGCCAGCCAGACATGTCACAGGAGCTGTATGGGAAACTGCCATGGAGGCAGGGAGATGCCCAGTCACCAGGCAGGGTGAGGTGGGTAGCCTCGAGGGCACCCCTGTGCGGGGTCTGTAGCTGTGCAGACAGTACCTGAGGGTTTGGGGAGCCCCCAGGTGCCACTGGGGCCTGTGGGAGCTCATGGGCCAACCTGAGGCAGGAAGACTCAGGCAGAGCCAGTATGGGCAGTGGGCGAAGGGTCAGCGGCTCCCAGGGCAGGGGTGTGGGGTGTGGGCAGTGGGCGAAGGGTCAGCGGCTCCCAGGGCAGGGGTGTGGGGTGTGGGCAGTGGGTGAAGGGTCAGCAGCTCCCAGGGCAGGGGTGCAGGGTGTGGGCAGTGGGCAAAGGGTCAGCGGCTCCCAGGGCAGGGGTGCAGGGTGTGGGCAGTGGGCAAAGGGTCAGCGGCTCCCAGGGCAGGGGTGTGGGGTGTGGGCAGTGGGCAAAGGGTCAGCGGCTCCCAGGGCAGGGGTGCAGGGGGAGGCCAGCTCCTATATGTTGGTCCTTACACACCAACGCACCCCCTCTGCCCATCTCACACCCTTCCCACTCAGATCCAGAGCAGTCAGCAAGGCAGGAGACCAAGGCCTTTGGGAGCCCTGCACCGGGGTTTGTGATCCAGAGAGACACTTTAGGCCTGACTGGCCAGATGTGTGGGGAGCAGAGCTGTGTGCAGCCTGGTTGAGGGGCAGGGAGGGTCCTGCTCCTAAAGATTCTTACATATTAGAGAGAGAAAGAGAGAATCTTCCATCTACTGGTTCATTCCCCAGATTGAAGCAATGGCTGGTACTATGCCAGGCCAAAGCCAGGAGCCAGAGCACCTCCCAGGTCTCCCATGTGTGCCAGGGGCCCAAGCACGTGGGCTGTCTCCCACTGCTTCCCCAGGCCATGGGCAGAGAGCTGAATCAAGTGCGGCTAGTAGGGCATGAACTGGAGCTCATATGGAAGCTGGGATGGGGTCCTCCTTGTGCCTTCAGACCTGTGAAGGCTGGCGCAGGTCACTTGGGGGCTCTGCGACATCGTGCCTACAACAAACAGGCACCACAGTGGAAGACACCTCAGAGGAGCCAGTGGGGGGCACCCATCCTGCCCACGGCAGCCCACCCCCAGGCACAGCAGGGCTGACAGGCAGAGGGGCAGGCCGACAATGAGCCAGGCCAGAAGTAGTGGCCGCCAGGGACCAAGCTTGCTGACACCGGTGGCTCCCAAGGCAATGTAGGGGAGCCTGGGGAACAGGAGTGTGGCTGGTGACACCCAACCCCAAGAGGGCACCGAGGGGCTGTTGATGGAGAAGGCATCTTTCCTCACGCCAGCCTCCTGCTGCCCACAGCGATATCCTGAGCAGCCCCAAGCTGGCAGGTGAGCTGCAGGAGCTACAGCTGGGCAGCCTCCTGCCCCCGAGGCAGATCCAGCTGCTGGAGGCCACTTTCCTGTCCAACGAGGTGGTGAGTCTCCCAGTGGCTGGGAGGGACAAGAGACGGGGCTGGACAGGAGCTCGGCGTGCAACCCCACTGAGCTGAGCCGTGTGGTGGGTGCTGCCACACACAACCCCGCAGGCCAACATGAAGGAGCTAATGGCCCGCGCCCTGGAGGTGGAGTCACAGCGCTGGGCCGAGGATGCGGCCCCCCAGAGGCTGGACGGCCGCTGCCACAGCGAGCTGGCCATTGACGTCCTCCAGGTACCACAGTCCCATGCCTCTACCGGCGGGGCCCCACGTCCACTCATCGCTGCCTGTATGCCCGTCCCCTACCCCCAGTGCCCTGAGTTCCAGCCTCGCTCACCTCCCCCTGCCCTCCCCCCCAACCCCCAGATCGTCTCCCAGGGCCAGACCAAGGCCGAGAGGATCACCCCTGACCTGGGCTCGCAGATGAAGCAGATACTGCTGGCGGAGCTGACCAACTTCCTGCAGAGGTGTGTGTGCCCACAGTGCTTAGGACGGGGCTGCTCCATGGTGGGCCCTCCCACCTGCCCCGAGAGCCTCGGGTCATCCACGCTCTACCGAAGCAGTGTGGGAGCTTCTGGATCCACAGTGTACTGTTGGGGACTGAGAGTCCCTCCTCCTCACGACTGCCCTAGTCTTGTTTGCTGCCCCCCACACCCCTGAGGACCCCTGGCAGTGCCAGCCCCTGAGGGCCTCTTGCCCTCTCCTGGGCTGCTGGCGGGGGCTGAGGCGCACCGGAAGAACCTTCTGGTAGCTGCTCTGGCCCTGGCATACATGCTGGAGCTGAACGGATCCCTTCTTGTTGCGCCAGCTACCAGGCCAGCTTTAATGACTTTCTGGAGCAAGGCAGACAGCTGAGGAATTACAGGGCCAATGTCATGGCCAACATCAACAACTGCTTGTCCTTCCGGTGAGGTGCTGGGAGGGGTGGGGATGGGGGGGTGAGGGCCCTTCACCGTCAGGTGCATGATGGGACCCGTACGATGTGGGCATCCCCAGCTGGACCGCACAGCCATGGAAGGTTTTCGTGTTTAGATGGGCTCCCTGAGTGACCTTCCTGCTCCACATTCCAGGACATCCATGGAACAAAACTGGCAGATCCCGCGGGACCCCCCGAGCCACCTGCTGGCCCCCCTGAACGAGCTCAAGGGCCGTGGCTTTAACGCACTGCTCCAGACCCTGTTCTTGGAACTAAAGGTGGGGGCCTCTCCATGGGCAAGGAGCTGGAAGGGAGGGACTGGGAAGGGGGATAGCTGGGGCAAAGGGCACACAGGACCTGTTCCCAATGGGAGGTTGGGGGTCCTGGAGGGCCCCTGACCTTGGCAATCAGTCTGTCCTTAACAATTTGGCTTGACCCACCCCTGCCTTCCCCCCCCAGAACCAGACAGCTTGCCCCATCCAGACCAGCCCAGAGCCCACAAGGGTTCCCCTTTGCCAACTCCCCCAGCTGCAGCCCGGAACACAACGGCTGGGACCTAGAGACAGCACAGGGTAACACAGGATCCCTGGAAACGAGGGGCCCGAGCTGTGAGCCCTCACTGACCCAGGCAACGCAAGGCCTTGTTTATACCGAAGTTTGTTTATGTAAGCAGAAGGCACTGGAAAGGCCTCGGAGCTGGCAGACCAGCTGTCCTGGCTCTGCCACAGCTGAGTAACCTTGCAGAAGGGGCCAGACACCCGCCTCCACTTCCTGTCTGCGAGCAGGACCTGTGCTGTCCTGCCCGGCTTCCCCGGGGCCGCTGGCATCCGTGCCGTCTGTGACTGGTGACACTTCCTGTCCTGAGCGTGACCAGACCTCCTGCCCGTCTCTGCCAGCCGCTGTTCAAAAGGCTCACACAGACGCGCTGGGCGGCGGCCGAGGAGGTCCTGGAGGCGATCCTCGGCACCATGGTGGGGAGACTGCCTGAGTTCTTGGAGCTGCACGACTGCTTCCGGGAGGTGAGGGGGCCCTGGGCTGGTGGTGCCACCTGGGGATGGAGGGACAGCCCAGACACATATGCACACTCCACACACACGTGTGGATAGACACACGCCCTGGCCCGGCCCCCAGGAGCTCATGGAGACTGTCCACCTGCACCTGGTGAAGGAGTACATCACTCGTCTGTGCAAGCGGCGCCTGGTGCTGAAGACGGCCGAGCAGCAGCAGCAGCTGGCCAAGCACGTGCTGGCCAATGCCGAGCTCATCCACGGCTTCTGCACTCAGAACGTGAGCCCCCCCCGCTGAGCCCCCCATGCACTGCCCAGGGCCCGGGACAACCCTCCTCCGGCACCCGTTCCATCTCCATTGAAGCTGGATGGCCTCTCGGGGCCCCGGAGTGTGTGTGGGTGTCTTACCCAGAGCTGTGCCCGCAGGGTTCCCCTGCAGCCTGGCTGCATCACGCCCTGCCAACCCTAGCTGAGATCATTCGCCTGCAAGACCCCAGTGCCATCAAGATTGAGGTGGCCATGTATGCCACTTGGTACCCCGACTTCAGGTGAGGATGAGGGGCCCTCTGTGGGCTGGGGTCTGACACAGGTGCTCTGCCCTGCTGAGGCCCCGCAGCTACACACCTGGCATGGTGCTGGGAGTGGTGCCAGGATCCGTGCGTTTAGTCTTCCCCGCTGGCTTCCAGATGGGCCCGAGAGCTCAAGAGGTGTGGCCAGGGTGCCAGAGTGGGTAATGGATGGGTTAAAGGGACAAAGCTGGGTGGTCAGGCCCGCAGACCCTGCTCTCTCCTCACACTCAGGGGACACTAAGGCCCGGGAGAGCAGTGTCCACCGCTCGCCCAATCTAGGGCTCCTTGAGGGCTACAGTTTGTGCCCTGTTGGGAAGGGCTCCTCTGGCTATCCAAGGGTCTGGTGAGCCAGACATGGGGTCTTCTGGCTGGCTCCCCTGATGTGACAGGGAATTGACATGGGGGGGGGCTTCATGGGGCTGACATGTCTCAGCCCAGTCCAGTTTCCTGGCTGAGCTACTGCACCCCGCACTCATCTACCAGCTCGTAACATCCCCCTCTGTCAATCCACTCATCCGGCCCTTCTGTCCTCCTACCCATCAGTCCATCATCTACCGATCCATCCACCCACCCATCTACCCATCCATCCACCCATCCGCCCAACCATCCATCCACCCATCCGCCCATCCATCCACCCACCTACCCACCCATCCATCCACCCACCTACCCACCCATCCATCCACCCACCCGCCCATCCGCCCATCCACCCATCCATCTGCCCACCCACCCATCCATCTATCCATCTACCTACCCACCTACCCATCCACCCACCCACCCACCCATGCATCCATCCATCCGCCCATCCATCCACCCACCCGCCCATCTATCGGGCCATGCATCCATCCAACCTATCAATCATCCAACCGCCCATCCATCCCAACCGTGACCTGGCAGTCTGTTCTAGATGCTGGGATGTAATCGAGTACAAAGCAAGCTAGGTCTCAGCCCTGCTTCACGTAGCTGGTGGTTTGTGGAGGGGCAGCAGTCATGACATTGTCAGGCAAAGAAATGCATGTGCAAGGTATAAAGATGTTCATATGAGACCTTGAACGACAGCAGTCCCGACTTCACCAATGGGGCAGTAACTGTTGTGCTGGGGCCTAGGGGTCGGGTGGAACTGACCATCTCAGAGGGCTGAAGCTTGGCTGCTGCCAGGGACAAGGAGACAGGGGTGGGCAAGGGGGTCATGGTCACCTGGGGTGCCAGGGGTCGCTGAGCAGGGGTACTGGGCCCTGCTCCACTGACAGGACACTACTTCTCCATGCAGCAAGGGCCACCTGAGCGCCATCCTGGCCATCAAGGGGAATCTGGCTAGCAGTGAGGCCAGGAGCATCCGGAACATTCTAGACGTCAACTCGGGGGTGCAGGAGTCCTCCAGGTCCCTGTTCTCACTGATCAACGTTGGTTAGCTCGGCCTGTTCCAACCAAGCACAGAGCAGGCCGCTCCGGGGGCCATCCACTCCACACTGCCCCCACAACCCCTTTCGGCCGACATATAGGCGCTGGAATTGGACAGAGCTCTGGTGGAGCAAGGGCACCATTGAGGGGTGCCCCCGAGCTGATGCCCAAGAAAGTCCTTGTAGAACCATAGTTGGTGGAGTGTGCATGGGACTGAACCAGGAGGGAGAGTGTGGCCAGGGCCCTCACACAGTCAGCCTCAGCACCATCCCTCTTGTGGGTGGTCCTCAGCGTCCCCTCTAGATCCCCGGAGCCAAGCATCACCCTCTCTGCTTCCCTCAGGCTGTGTGCGTGGCTTGAGACGGGCTCTGCAGGTCTGGAGTCGAAGACAGAACCGGAAGGGGAGGATAGGGGCAACTCTTCCCCGGGGTCCCCTGGGACACTGAGGGCAAAGCCAGGGTCAGCCCACTCACCCCCAGGAGCCCCCTAGTGCACCAAAGGCAGAGCCAACATCAGCCCACTGACCCCCAGGCTTGGACCCCTTCTGGCCTCTCCTGAGGTGGCCCTGGAGCCCAGGGCCAGGGCCTCTTAGGGTCACCTGCCCGGATGCAGACAGGCCCCACTGCCACCTGACCGTGTGGCAGAGGCCTGGGCAGGAGCCAGGTGAGCCTGTGGCCTCTGCTCCCTCTTGCTGCTGTAACAGACAAACCCGCTGGCCACTCTGAAGGTGGATGCAGGACCCGAGGCAGGGGGCAGGAGGGCGGGGCTCTCCCGGTTGTTCAAGGCCACCATGTCCAGCTCTGCGTGGCCTGCATGTCAGGGCCAGTCACAGCCCAGTGAGCCCCTCCCACCACCACGCCCCGGGGTGCTAGCTTGCCTTCCCAGCCCAAGTGTCCACTGAGAGAAACCCAGCCCTTCTCTATTTCAAGGTCAGATGGAAGCCACCTGCAGTAAGTCCTGTTTGCAGTGCAACCTGATAGGGTCACACAGGCTCAAGGACCAGGGTGCAGACATGTTTGGGGTACCCTCATCCCACCCACCACCACCTGCGAAGGCACCTCATCCCTCATCCCACCCTGGGGAAACAGATCCGTCCAGGCTGGGGCTCTGCTACCCCAAGGTCCGGCTCCCTCCCCAGGTGAGAGGGACCAGTTCAGATATGGCCATAACTGAGTCCCCCCCCCTCCAGAGTCAGGCTGCATCCCCCAGGGCTGGCCTGAGGGTGGTTCCAGGAGGCTCCCTCCTCCAGGTCCTGCCCAGTGCTGCCTTACCAAGCAACGCACACAGGTCTCTACATTTGTTGGGTGTTGCTAATATCCCTAAGTGCTACTTTTGTACATGTGTCCTCTGGGCAGGACCAGAGATTGATAGTTTGATATTAAAGTTGAGTTCACAGATGGCTGTGGACTGGTTTCTCTGGGGAGCTGCAAGGTGGGCATGGGAACAGGCGGCGGAGGGCAGGGGTGCTGAGCGCTGGGGTCTGGGCACATGGCTGCTTCCCAGGCTGGGCTCTTGGGACTTCAGCTTTGTTGGCTCGCCTGAAGGGCCCCGCCACGTGCCCTCCCGTGTGGCAGCACTGCAGTGAGCATGGAGGTGTGGACCCAGCAGGAAGTGTGATTTCCCGGAAGGCAGGGCAAGAGAAGAGCAGTCCCCTCCCTTCTCGGCATCGCGGATCCACCCAGTCCGAGGGAGGGGAGCCCCGCGTGGCCCGAGCACGGGAGCTGGAGCCAGGAGGCCTCTCCAGGGCACCCGCCTCAGTGTGTGTGAAGACGGAGGTGAAGGGTCTGGGGTGGGGTGCCTTCCCGGAGCCCTGCGCTACTGGGAGAGGCTCCTGTGGTATGGGGCCCACAGTGGGCATGGAATCCGCCTGGCCCAGAGGTGCCCAGCAAGCAGAGGGAGGCCCGTCCTGCTGCCTGGTTTGCCCTGGACTTCCCCAGGAAAGCCTGGGACAGCTGGGCTTCTTCGCGGTGTGGGAGGATGCAGTCCCTTCCAGGGCTGATACTGGGAGGCTATAGGAGCCGCAATCCACTGATTGGGGACTTGAGGTCCCTGGGCCAAACCTGGCACAGCCTGCAGGTGGGAGAACAGCCTGGGAAGGGGGGTGATGGAGTGGGGTGGCAGCTACTCCCCTGGGCCTCATGGGAAAGGGCCCTTGGGCTGTGCCTGCTGCTGGAGCAGAAAGGGGTGCTGGGCTGTGAGGGCTGGCTGTGCAGTCAGTGTGGCAAGGGTGGAGAGTTGACAAACTTGCAACCCGTTTCCTTGAGGGGTGAAGGACAAGGCAGTTGGCCAGGTTTTACAGAGACCCGGGCCTGGCTGCCACTGGGAGCAGTGTGTTAAGCTGCCATCGGTAGTGCTGGCATCCCACATGGGCGCCAGTTCCAATCCTGGCTGCCCCACTTCGGATCCAGCTCCCTGCTAACATGCCTGGGAAAGAAGCTGAATATGAGCCAAGTGCTTGGGTGGTCCCTGTGCCCACGAGGGAGGCCGGAAAGAAGCTCCTGGCTGGGAGGGCAGGCAGAGGACCCTGAGGCCAAGTTAAGTTGGAGGAGTCTAGAGAGAAGAGAGAGGAGGCTCCGAGACAGATGGAGTGCCTGGCAAGTGTCACAGGTCACATGTGAGGCAGTGGCCGCCAGGTGCTCTCACCACCTGCATGGTCCCCGAGGAGGGGGATCTGGCAACGTGGGTCACAGTGCCACTGTGCTGTGCCTGAGACAGTGGCAGGAAGTGGCTCTCGGAGCGGGTGGACCTTACTGGGCAGGTGCCCTGCCCCTTTGCCTTCTTGTGCTGACAAAGCCCGGTGCTCCCCATGGTGGGGGGAGGCAGGGGATGCTGGGGACCTGGCAGGTGGGGATGCTGGGGACCTGACAGGCAGAGGGGATGCTGGGGACCTGACAGGCAGAGGGGATGCTAGGGACCTGACAGGCAGAGGGGATGCTGGGGACCTGACAGGCAGAGGGGATGCTGGGGACCTGACAGGCAGAGGGGATGCTAGGGACCTGACAGGCAGAGGGGATGCTGGGGACCTGGCAGGTGGGGATGCTGGGGACCTGACAGGCAGAGGGGATGCTAGGGACCTGACAGGGAGAGGGGATGCTTGGGGACCTGACAGGTGGGGATGCTGGGGACCTGGCAGGTGGGGATGCTGGGGACCTGACAGGTGGGGATGCTGGGGACCTGACAGGCAGAGGGGATACTGGGGACCTGACAGGCAGAGGGGATGCTGGGGACCTGACAGGCAGAGGGGATGCTGGGGACCTGGCAGGTGGGGCATGATGGTGGCCATCAGTGACCATGGGCAGGGCTGCACGTTTTCCTGCCAAACACCACGCATCCATCCTCTTACCACAGACCTGCCATCATGTCAGCCATCGCCCGCTATGTTGATAGGCTCTCAAGTTCAGCCGCAGTCCAAGGAGTCCCCTGTCCCCTCCGACTGCCCAGACGTTGTGACTGTGGTATTGATACCATGCAATAGGGGCACCGGGGTGAGGCATGGTGGCACACTGGGATAAGTCTCTGCTTCAGAAGGCTGCCCAGGGCTCCCATGCCAGCTCGCTGCTCACGAGCACGCTAGGAGGCAGCAGGCCATATCATGTCCTGCCACCTGCACGGGGCATGTGCACGGAGTTCCGGGGAGTGCCCCCGACTGTGCAGGCACCTCTAGAATAAGCCAACAGATGCATAGGCACCTCTCTGTCTCTGCCCTTTCAAATAAAAATAAACTTAAAAAGATAAAGGAAAAAGAAATGGGCTCGGTATGGTAACCTAGTGGCTTGAGTCCTCTCCTTGCAGGCGCCGGGATCCTATATACACGCTGGCTTGTGTCCCGGCTGCTCCGCCTCCCTTCCAGCCCCTGCCGTGACCTGGAAAAGCAGTGCAGGGTGGCCTAAGGTGCTGGCATCCTGCACACATGTGGGAGACCCAGAAGAAGCTCCTGGCTCCTGGCTTCAGATCAGCTCAGCTCTGGCTGTTGTGGCCACTTGGGGAGTGAGCCAAGATGCAAGATCTTTCTTTCCGTCTCTCCTGCTCTCTGTAATTCTGACTTTCTAATAAAAATAAATCTTTAAAAAAACAGAGAAAAATGGTTGACATATGCAAAAGTCAAATAGAGGAAGTGAGGTTTTTTTAATCTATTATTTATCTAGAAGAGTTACAGAGAGGAAGAGAAAAAGAGTTTCCATCTGCTGGTCACTCCTCGACTGGCCAGAGTGACCACGGCCGGGCCCCGCTGAAGCCTGGCTCTTCGTGGACGGCTTCCACGTGAGTGCAGGGGCCCGTCTTCCACTTCGTGGCCATCTTCCACTGCCTTTCCAGGTATGTTAGAAGGGAGCTGGATGGGGCTCAAGCTCCCGTCCGTGTGAGATGCTAGCATTGTAACACACCATGCCACAACGCTGCCTCCTGCTTTTTATATAAACTTAGGTTTGTTTTGTCTGAAAGAGAGAAAATGGTCTTCCATCTACCGGTTCACTCACCAAGTACCTTGTATCCCCGAAGCTGAACAGGCCACAGCCAGGCACTCAGACCTCCGCCACGCCCCTTCCTGGGTGGCAAGCGTCCAGGGGCACGGGCCATCATCTGCTTTCCCGTGGTGCCCTAGTAGGGAGCTGGATCGGAAGCAGAGACGGGACCTGAGCTGGGCACAGTGCGAAACAGCCACGTTCAGCCAGCCCGCAGCTGCTGCAGGACCCGTCAGTGTCTCGTCCCCTGGCCACCCTGGAGACACACCAAGGCCTGTGGAGCAGAGCCAGCAGGAAGCACAGAGGCGCAGGCGCAACGCCACGCCAGGTGCCCGTCCAGCGTCTCCTCCAGGCTGGGCAATGCAGTGTACGAGAGCAGGTCAGGGTCATGGGTGGAGAGTGTGTCCTCCCACAGGGACGAAGCTAGAGGCCAGCACCTGCTCTGGACCGGCCTCCCTCAGCACCTCCGTGGGCTGCCCGCGTCCAGCTGAGGGGCCTTCCACGTTTCCTGGTGCCGCTGCACAGGGCTGCATTGTTGAGTTTCTGATGGACCTTCAGGGAGTTTCCAGTGCTTGGCTGCACCTCCACGTGACCTCTGTGGGACATGAGTCCCTGGTATGGATGCCAGAGGGTAGAGCAGGAGAAGCCATGCAGGGGTCACCTTGACTCGTGGGGCCAGGTCCTCTGTAGGGGCAGGGTAGTGACAGCACCTGGAGAAGCCGTGCAGGGGTCACCTTGACTCGCGGGGCCAGGTCCTCTGTAGGGGCAGGGTAGTGACAGCACCTGGAGAAGCCGTGCAGGGGTCACCTTGACTCGCGGGGCCAGGTCCTCTGTAGGGGCAGGGTAGTGACAGCACCTGGAGTGACCGGTTTAGGGCAGGCCAGCGGGCACAGGGTAGAGCAGCAGGGACAGTGGGCAGGGTCATGGGGACAGGAGGAGGCAAAGGCCACACTCCCAAGGACACACAGGCAGGCTCACTGACTACATGCCATGTCAATTGCACGTCAATAAAGCTGTCAGGAACTCTTTTGTCCCATACATTGTCCAGAAATGGATAGAACATTCTTCTGCTTCTGGGAAAGTTGGGAGGGAACTGGCGGCTGTTGGCGTAGAGTTGGTGGGCGCAGCCTCTTGTGGGGTTAAGTTTCACAATGCAGCGTCCCCCACAGGCGCCTGAGAGCACCAAACCCTCTGAGTTCTAGGCTCTGGCTGTTCTGTCCACACACGCTGACAACAGAAGCAGAAACAGACGGACATCACTGATAAAGCAATAACATACTGTAAGAAAAGTAAACTTATGAATTATTCATTTCTAGAATTTTCCATCATCAGATCACAAGGTTTTCGCTTTGTTTCGATTGATGGACATGAAAGGCAGAGCAATAGAAGGAGACACAGAGAAGAATCTTCCGTCTGTTGGTTCATTCCCCAAATGTCTGTGATGTCCAAAGCCAGGAGCCTTTTCTGGGTCTCCCACGCGGGTGCAGCGTCCCAGGCACGTGGGCCGTGCTCTGCTGCCTTCCCAGGTGTGCTAGCAGGGAGCTGGGTCAGACGTGGACCCTGCGCTCGAGTGGGCGCTCGAGTGGGTGCCGGTGCCAGCCCCCGACCACAGCATCAGCGAGGCCCTGGGTGGGTGTTGAGAGGGAGACGGCCTGTCTCTGGGGGAAGTCAGACAATCCAACCTGCTTTTTGTTGAGCCTTTACTAAGATACCATTAACTTCCTTCTTATCTCAGTAAACTTTCTTTTTAATTTGCTTTGTATTTATCTGCCTTTTATCTGTAAGAGATAGAAACAAAGGTCTAACTAACTAACCCTAACTCGCACAGCTAGGCCCAGGCCAGGCCAGGAGTTCAGGCCCCAGCTTCCCTGTGGCTGGAGGGCGCGAGTCTCCACCAGGAAGCTGGCTACAAAGCGCAGTGGACTTGAACCCAGAGG